CCCCAAAACCCCAAAACCCCAAAACCCCAAAACCCCACTCTCCAGAAATATGTGATTGAATGGGTATATCAAATAAAAAATAACAAAATATCATTAAATTCAATGGGTTCTTGTTGTGCACGTGAAGATTAATCAAATATCCAAGTCATTGTAAAAAAGCCTACATATTAGGCTGCATTGAAGGAGCCTACAAGCTATTTTGAAGACTACACTCCAGACTTGGGAAATGATAATGATAAGTCATTTAGTTCGATTAAGCTTAGTCATGAAGAGGATGTTTAACCCTGGAAGAAAATTGAAGTTATGCAAAGGGCTATCATAAAGCTGCATGATCACACCTTACATAAAATGGAAGATTTAAATGATGATGAGTGGGCATGCAATGGTATCGAGCTATTCGAAAAAGGATGTTATGGTGGTATCACAGACTTCCATTAGACCCAAGGTGTCGAGGGATGGAAATGTCCTATTGAGGAGTGTGATTTTGATATTTGTAAGACTTGCGTCCAACACACTCTTTGGGAGGAAGCTTAGAACTAGTAAAAAATATGATAATGATTAAGACTCATTTTAATGCAGGTTAAGTCGTCACCAGTTTTAATGAATTTCACTTTATCTTGTTTCAACTTAAAATGGAAGTGATTATTTATTGTTAGTCTATTTATTCGCATTAAATTAAAATCATGAAAGTTATATAATTTCTCCTAATAATTTATTGCTCTTAACTTCTTATTTATAAAGCACTTAATTCCTGATAATGTAGTCAACTTCAGCAGCAGATTAAGATTTGGAAGTTCAATAATGCATGTTTAGCTTGCAGGAGCTTGAAATGAGGGATCCTCCTAATAAGGTCATTGAACTCAAACCATAGAACAAAAATCTAGACTTAAAAGTGATAGTATTATCTAAGGATGTGCCCAAAGAACTCAAAAATAAAGAGGTATTGTACCAGTGTCTAGTATCTGACAAAACTGCAAAGATAAACTGCAATTTTTTCGGAGATATAGGAGAGAAGATTAAGGCTGGAGATATTATTTATCTTATGAACGCTTTTACATCTATTTACAAAGATCACATGGTGTTATATTAGAGCTCTAAGGGAGGTGTGTACAGACTAAGAGATTTCTTCTTTGTATTCAGCAACAGTGGACCTAATATGAGTGAACCCACATATGTGAGAGAGTTAGATCAAAATAATAGAGAGAGGTACGTCATTAAGGGCTAGAATAAGTGAATAGAAAATTATTAGTGGAAAATAATGACGATCAATGTATAATATAGATTGAGTTAAGTAATTAGAGAATTTAGCATTAAATTAATAATTTCATTAATATTTCTTTAATGAGCAAAAAAGTCATTCCTTAGCAAATTCGTAATAATCTACAGTAGCAGCAGGTCTCAGAGTATGGCTCAGAGCAGAATAGGCTTCATCAGTGATCTGGACTTGATTCTCTCAATGAGACTAAAATCAGTTTTGGAATGGCAATGGATTTCAATTAAGCAGTTAAATTCAATGCCAATGATAGAGAAAATGAAAATGATGATGACCTACCTTATTATTCATTTTCAACTAGCGCTAAAAACAAAGATTAAGAGCAAGCCAAGTAGAGCATATATAACAGTAATATAATAGACTATAACACAGCATAAGAAGGAAACTAAGCACCAATATAAGGTTCGAAATGGAATAATTTAGGGTAAAACACAAACATAAATATTTACAATGAATAGCATCTGAGAATCGTATTACCACCATAAAAATTACCAAACTCTTCGAAGTAACTTCCAGAACTATCATTCCTAATCAATTAGCAGTAGTTAGATTAACTCTATGATATAGTAGTAGAGCCAGATGAACAAGACATAGACTACAAGATGTATAGTGAACATTACAAATCAGCATTGTGGTTAATGCATAAGCTCTTTTTATAGAAGCAGCTTACTTTAAGATAAGTGCAAATGAGAAATCAGCATGGACTTTTTTACAAGTTAAACAAATTTCTTCAGACTGAGAATCCCGAGCTAATGCTCTACTCATTAAGAGTTTTATTGGCATTCTTGTAAAAATTTGATGGCACAGATATCCCTATCAAAGAAATGAAGGACATCGGCATAATAGAAACTATCCATGAGAGTTTAGATCAGGATAACGAGTTATTAGGAGAACTAACCAGATTATCACTAGCAGTTTTGACTTAAATCAGTTATAATTTCCCTTAAGAAATTTCAAAGTTTAACATTAAAAAAATCATTCAACTTTGTGATAGCACTTGCAGTGATCTAAAGACCTAAGAGTCTGCTATTAAATTAGTATGTAATCTATTAACTAACGAGCTTAGTAGGGATGAGATCTTAAAGAATGATGGATTGTTTGGTATTTTTCATTGCATGATTAACAATAACAAGTCAGCTTTGAAATATGCTCTAGCCTCAATTCTTAATTTGACATTTTTGACTAATTCGCAAAGTTAGAATATCATACTTCAGATCGTATAAAATGGAGGTATTGCCCATTTGATAGGAGCTTTATAAAAATCTTAGGCTTTAGTTGACTACTAATCAATGATATATGCAATAAAATCTATCTCAAATATTGCAGCTAGCTCTCTTAATTTCAATTTGGTAATTGGCGAGTTTGGGGCTCTTGATATTTTGATTCAAATAATTTAGAATCAAAGTTAAATAGACACAGAGATTGAAGAACAAAGAATGAGCATTAATCAGTTGATGACGCATTGTATGATATGTATATAATCTATTACCAGCTTGAATCTAAATAAGCTGCAATTACTGGATAAGACTTAATTTCTTAATGTTGTTTTCTAAGTTATTTAAATACATTAAACTGATTAGAACTTGGTAAAGATATTAGTATAGCTTCTCGGCCAAATATCACATGAAGCCTTTAACTTAGCCAAGAAGATCTAATAAGCAAATCAAGGATCTTTGATGCAAGAAATATATAAGTTACTGATGAGATCAAGAGATGAAGCCATTATTAGAAAATGTATGAGATTGTATGTTATAATGTCTTCTTCTGGTGCATCTTTAAGTGGAGTGATTACATCAAATGAGTTGTAGTAATTCAAGGCTGAAAAGAGATCACTTTTAAGCTTGCGAGGAGAAAAACTATTATCAAAATTAGAAACAGCTTATCTGAAACCAGCTCAAACTAAAAAGCAGTTATCAACGAGCGAAGAATAGTTAGATTGGCCTCTTGTGAATTCAATTAGAAAAGCCACTAAAGGTTGTCTATCTATACTTAAGGACAAAATAAATTCCTAGTTTGAAAAAAAGAAAAGTTTTGACATGAGTTTCGGGCTAGGGAAGGATCCTGACGATGATGACTCAGACTAAGAGGATATGTCATCTAAAGATGTGACCTCTAAAGATGAATAGAATAAATTCTAGCACTACAAAGATGCTCTAAATAAGGAACAGCAGCAATTCATGGCTAAGAGAGATGAAAAGCTTTAGTAGCTTAAAGAAGTCGAGCTTGCCAGGAAGTCAAAGACTCCGATAAGAATAACTAATACCAAATAAGAGGAAGTAGCTCAAAATCATAGTAGCAGTAGAGATGATCTCAAATAGAATAGAGTAATAATAAAATCAAACAGGCAAGATTTAAACAAGTCAACTATAGATTAGCCTGGCTTAAGGCAGGATTTAATAATAAAACCACCAATTCAAAAGAATGGTATTTAGCCAAAGAAATCTCCACTGAGACATTAAACGCCTGGGCCGATGGTAAGGCCTAATTCCAAATTGTAGTAAATCAGGAAATAAGAAGAGTAGAATTAGCTCAATCAGACAATGGAGAGATTTAATATGCTTGAGCCTCTCAATTTCAAGCCATAAATTAAAAATGAAGGCATATTACACTAGAATCATCCGATTTTTGATTAAAATCGAGCAACAGTAGAAAGTTTCCATTCTCAATTGGTAAATGAAAACTTCAATGCAGGAGCCCTAAATGATAGTGAGAGAAAAATATTCAAAGGAGGTCCTCTTTCAGTCCATTCTTTCAATGCTGGATTTAACAACGATAGTAGGTTAAACTCTAGATAGTCTTAGCTTCATAAGAATCAATAAATGAACAATAGTAATAATCAAGTGAGACAATCAACAAATGGAGTTTAGAAGTAAAGTTAAGTAGTTGAGCCCACAATGATAACAGAGGAAAACAAATAGCCTACTTTTGAATCTTACTATCAAGGTACTGAACAAGTTTAACTTGACAATAGGATAGATCCATTCTAAAATAATAATTTACTAGTCTAGAGACAATAGGTTGCTAATCCCTAAGTATCGTTTGCATCGACCTTTTTACCTCAGAAGCCAAGAGAAATGCTAGATATAGAAGAATAAATAAGATAGTTTAAGCAGAACTAGAATGGGCCAAATACTAATGTATATTAGCCTGTGAATAACGCTAGCAGATAGCCAGCTAATTAATTTAACTAGAGCAATTATTCTGGCTAATTTAATATGATGAATCAATCTTAATACAATCGAAACTTTCCTATAACTTAAACTGATCCACTACCACATAATAATGCATAAAATCCAGTAAGAAATCTGATACCAAAATCTAATGAATAGATGGTACTTGATAACTAGGCTAAAATATAAATGCTTGATCGTAAAGGTAGCACTTAAAATTAGTTTAATCCAAGACCATCAACTCAATCATTGATTGCCTATCACAATTAAGGAAATCCAGTATAAATACAAGACCAATAAGTTCAACTGCCTCCTTTGCCAGATATTGATATCAATAAATTTGCAGGCCAGGAGATTCCAATTTTGGAAAGATTCCTAGATGTGAATCTTTTGGAAAAAGACACTCTCGAGAGTAAACATGCTAGACATCACTTAGGCTTGGGAATGCCAGAAGTCAGAGCGATATAAAAACGAAATAATGCTTCTACTATGAGAGAGATTATAGAATGGTATAGGCAGCATAGCTCTTCCAATGGCTAGTATGAAACTCATTTGGAATTGCAGAGATCCATTTGTAGCAGCTAACTTACTACTAAGATGATATCTTTGATACTGCTAACTGGGCATGGTCTTGGATATTAGATGATCTAGTGAAGTAAAATACACAAAAATCCTCATTAAAAATGCATAAATAATAAAGCGTAATGATATAAATAGAGTTTACAAGTTATAAATTAAATTATTGTTCTACTTAATAAAATCAAATTTGACTTTGTGGGGTTTTGGGGTTTTGGGGTTTTGGGG